AGCCTGCCGGAACACCAAGCTGTTCACGCTCAACTTGCTTCAAAATGTCAAGCCCACGGGAAAAGTTCGCAAAGGACTGCCGAAGGAAAAGGAACACTCTGGTACTCCTGATGCTCTCTCCTTTCGCCAAGTCTTTGTTCAGGATGGGCTTATCTTTCACAAAACAAGCCTGCACTTCCGACGGTATCCTATCATCAAACAAGGCAATCCATGGCAAAAACACTTCAAGGTACTCAACCCATGCTTCGATCTCGGCACGCCGACCCTTGTTCATGCGTCCACCATCCAACATGGGCAACTTCGGCACATATGAGTCTGCCTTAGGATTCCTGATAGGAGCGCCGTTCCCATCATCAACCTCCATGGCATGGTCCACGCTGTCACTGATGCTACTCAAGCTACCAGCTCCCTTGCCTTTCTTCTCAGCACTTGTCCGGTCCTGGACCAGCTGCTGCACCAGCGACATCATTTGAGATATCTGCTGCTGCTGCTGCTGCACTGTCTGAACCAGAAGCTGGGATCCCAGGGCTGCCTGAACGGCAACGGGGTCCACTGCTGCAGGCGGTGGTGGCACCAAACCTGGTGGTGACATGGGTGAAGCCATTGCCGGTATGGGGGTGCCCATAGCAGTCGGAGAACCAACCACCGGGCTTCCTGTGGGATGCACTGCGCCCGACAAGTTCGACATCGGGCTGAAAGCAACTCCACTACCGACAACGGGGTTCCTTGGTGGAACTGACGAGTGTCTAGACCCTGAAGGCCTCTCATAGGGAGGCTCAGCCCCTCTCCTGCCTCTCTCACGAAGCATTCCGGGTTCACCCTCACCTATGTAGTAGTACGATGGCCTTCCACGGCCCTCCATACCAAGACAACTCAAGCACACACGCTTCCACGCTCTGCTACCACGTTAAAAACCCAAGATGCCAAGCAAGGCACCAAGGATGCAACCAAGCCAACTCACACAAGTCCAAACCAAGCAAACAAGCTCAGACACTCGGACAACACTTCTGTTTTGGCTTGCAGCACTCACACCAGTGCTTGTCACTTGAGCCAAAGTGGAAAACGTATCACAGCTCTCCAACTTGACAGCTCGGCTTAAAAGACCTCCAAAACACCCTCGAGTCATTCCTGCACCACTAATCGTCCTCAGGCTACTGGGAAAACTTCAAAAGCTAAGCAGACTCCAAGCCATGCACACAAAACTGCAAACTGCAAAACTCACCGTGTCTTACAGGATGACGCACAGTTCTCGAACTTCTACACTTGCGATCAATATTTCCCTTGAATGCGACTTCCGTCGAAGATTTCTGCCGTCTTGTACGCACGTGCCAACCGGGCAACCTTTGCAAGCGGCCCACGCATGGACCAGCCGTTTCCAAAGCTTTCCATGCATGTTAGATTCTTCTTAAACCGTAATGGGTTTCAGAAAAAGACTTGTGCAACCTTAACGCTCTTCCACACTCTCACACAAATCCACGGTGCACACAGGCGCTGACAAGCCTGCGTTTGGATGCTTGAGCCCATCAGGTTGATGCTAAAGCCCATTCTGTGTCTCTGCCATGCCAAGTCTAAGCATACAAGGCACTTAAAGTCAAAATTGGGAAAACTGAGCTGCTCAAGAAAAATGTTTGTGGCCTCTATTCCTACCGTCCTTTTCACGTCCACCTTGTTGCGTTGAAACAGATGCAACACACAGATTGCTTTAAATTGCTTCCTGCAAGGGTTCTCGAGAAGCAAATCTGAGCCAAGCATGCCAACAATCTAGACAAAAGCAAGCGATCTTCAACACAGATCTTGCAAAAAAAATGCAAGTTCCTGCGTCGTCCAACCCCCCTCTTCAGGGTCATTTCCCTCCCTCTCTCACATTGGCACCCGTCTCTTGCCCGCTTTAGCCAATGTGAAGGACAGTCACAGATTTTTCAATTTCGGAAAAAATAAAATAAAACAGTTTGACATTGCAGATAAATGAGACTGACAAATGTGATTCAAGGCAAAGCAGAGTGTTTTTTTTTTTGTGCGGCTCTGAACTGCACACTGAACAGAAGCAAGCAACATGTACCAAAAGCGATCACATGCGAAAATGCACATAGAATGCTTCAAAAAAAAATGTCTTGCACTCCCTTGCAAAGCTGTTCCAAACAGAGAACGAAGTCTGGTTTTTTCCAAAGGTCCCACACACAGACGCACGAAATAAGTCAGTGCCAACCTTCCAAAAGCGGCAGCGCTTTGCTTCTCCAAGGCTGCTCTACCTTTCTACCCCTTGGAATATTTGGAGCAATAGCGCTCAGGTGCCGCTTTGGCTGCGACCAGCCCGGCCTTTGTACCAAGGAGATCAGAAAGAATCAACGCGTTTTGCGTGAGAGCTTAAATTCTTTCTGTTTTTAATTGTGAATTGGCGGTATGGCTGCCCGTGGAGGTTGGTGTGCCATGGGCCCAGTTATGCCCGCCAAGAATAGTACAACGCTGTGTGCCAATTCCCAAGCATTCCTTCTTGGAGAATGGAAGGGGAGAATTTGCTGGAAAAAACATTGACTAAGTGGGTATCTGCAGTATTAAGTCACCAAGCCATTACGGCCACAACAAGGAACACTTTATAAACTGCTTTGGAGTGTGGCGGCGGAGGGAACAGGCGAACAACGATCTGTGGTGTGCAGTTCCGAAAAGCGTTACCCTGACTTGTGGCCGCAGCATTAATTTCTTGTGGCTTCAAGCAGAAACGCATAATTGCAGGCACCTGTTTCTTTCTCTTTCTGGCCGTTTCCTTGGCAGATGTTACCCATTCAAGCTCGACTTCTGTCCACGTTTTTGTTTTCTATCGTGTGTCAGGGCAGGTGAGCCTTAATATGCCCAGTCCACATGCAATGTCTCCACAATGCCCCTTAGCAGGCACGCGGGTAAGTCGACATTTGGACTTTGTGTTTTGCGTGGCTGCCATTGCGGTTCCCCACACGACTTGGTGCTGCTATGATTCTGCTTGGAGACCACATCGACGAGCTTGGGCACTGAGCGCGTGGGGTTTTTCTTAGTAGTTTTGCCGCCCTCTCTGTGTTGCTTTTTTGTGGCGATCTGTTTCACACCTAGTTGAAAGACCCACAAGAACGGCCTACTGTGCTTCTGATGTAGCAAAGAGTGTTCGCTTAAAAGAAAAATACCTTGCCGCTGCAGTCTGCAGTGGCGACAACTCAAGGCGGGTTTGCGCGTTGTAAATTCATGGTTCATCATTAGACTTTGCATTACAATGGTTCTTTTGTTTATGTGATTGCGGCTAATCACATAAATTAGCCCGGACATGCAAGGTGGCTGGGACCTTGCTTTTTTTTGCCATCTCTCCAGCATTCTTAATTGCTTGAACTCAGTTGTTTCTATCTTGATGTGCAGTGCAAAGGGCAAAGAAGCTTTTGCGGCGCTGAATTCAGCGTCGGAACTTATGTCAAGAATTGGGACGTCCAGCCCGGACCACCCAAGCAAAGGCAATGCGCTCTTTGCCGTTGTCTTTGTCATCGCCCAGGCCCTTCTTGCCACTTGTGTGCTACAGGCAAGGCTGAAACATGTCTACTGCTCAGAGACGGAAGTGAGCTCGCGAATCGCCCACATCTTCTTGTCTGCATTCTACATCTCCAACCAAAGGGTTCTAAAGGCCTGGCGCCGCCACAAAAGAAAGTCTGTCGTCAGTCTGATGCGCATGTACATTCTCTGTAGAATGAACCGGCAATTTCGCTTGCAGAGAAGGTAGAAAACATTGGAAAGCATTCTGCAACTTTGCTTGCAAAAGTTGGAAAGCATGTCTAACAACTTCAGCTGAAGATTTATTGGAGCGTTTTTGCAATTTCGCCTGCAAAGAAATTGGAAAGCATTCTGCAACGTCACCTTTTTGTGCTGCACGTCTGTGTTTCTTATGGTCCACGCTGGTTCTCTTGCTGCCACGTCGACATGGCGCTTTGGTCCACGTCAACATTTGCAGTTGGATTTGTGAGAGAAAAGTCTAGGCAGCACAAATTGAACCGTGAAAAACATAGGTCAGAGTATCCTCCCAGTTGCGGCAGCTCGCAGATGTGAATGCTGCTTGTCCGAAAATGATGCTGGAGAACGGACACCGATCCTGCAAGTTGTCTTTGAAAAAAAAATGATCAGACACAAACAAGGACTGGTAACTGAATCACAAGATGTGACACCTGATGTGCGTCAAGATTTGCAGTGAATGCTGTTTTAAGTTCTCAGGTGTGCTATTTCTCAAAAGATGGTCGCATGCACTCTCCGCACTCTTGAGGGACAAACCACGCATGTGTGGTCTCAACCTCATGTCCTCTTCCGAACGGTTATACACGTCCAGCAGGCAGTTAGCGGGTCCTGTCTTGGGATCCAGCGGAGAAATACGCAGGGAGGCTTCAACCGTTGCAGTTTGCAGGCCTGCAGTTGCCGCTGGTAGGCCGAGGAATGCCACAACAGCAGACGCAGAGATTGCAAGCTACTGGTGTCAAAGAACCTTCCTGGAGCTCGTCTTCAATCTTGCTGTTGGGGTCGTTGCTGGCATAAAAATCGATTGTTCTTTTCATAGCATGCATACTCCGTCGTCGAAAATAGATGCTTGTTTTTTCATGCAGTTTGAAAGATTTTGCACTGAGTGGCAACAATCAGCAGGGTAGGTTGAAACATGAATCGTGGATGTGAATCTTCATTACAAGCCTCGGGAGAAACTTTTGCCCGCCCACCCTGGGGAAAGCTGACAAACGTTGTGTGACATGCCCCATATTGGCTTTAGAAAGGGAGCGCCGGCTATTATTGTTATAAACATAGAAGGTTTGTGTTTTTCATACCATGCGTATTCCGCCACGAGAGTAATGACATGATCCGTCTTCGCCCCTGCCGCGTGCTGTTTAAGCAGCCATGATTGGGCTTGGGGTTTGCAGTGCTTGATTTTCGTGCAACATGAACAGAACAGAAACCACTGACCTTGACTTTCACAGTTCCTGTCAAAACCGTTTTGTGGCAGTCCTTCATCAATGGTCCAACTTGGTTGGGACAGCCAGTTGCAGAGCGGAGTCCTTCTGGTAGTCATCAATCGCGAATCGCGAACAGGCTTTTGTGAATCGGAATGGCGTCTTTCCTCCACCATGGCTGCCGGCGCACAGGCCCCTCCCTGGCTTTGGGGGGGCTGTTTGTGAATTCAATTGCCAGCTTCCCAGGATCCTTATTTCAGGGCACCGCATTTCATTAAGGGATTCCGTAAACACCGGGATCGTCTCGTTTCGGATGGCCGTCGCTCGCTAAGGGCACAATTTTTAGGGTCTCTGGAGTCAGCAAATGTATTTCCTTGTGGTGAAGCACGCCAAACCACACAAAACAATAAGATCTTGCGAAGTCTTGCTGCGCCAAGGTTTACAAAGAGACCATTGAGGATTCCACGGAACATCTGGCCGATAATGTAATCTACTTCAGGTTCATAACAGTAGTGCGCATCAGAATCATAGCTATTTATTTGTCTAATTCAGTACAATCAAAGATCCGATTCAGTAGGATGTATACAAAACGAGCTATGGGTTTTTTTCATGTCTGAGTGCCCGAGCACTTTCCATCCGAAGTTCCTTGCAAGGTCCTGGCCCCAGCACGGGCTGAGCTCTCCAAGTACTTTGCTGGGCCATACCTGGAAGGGAAGCACTATGACGGTACAGAGTATTCCCTGGACTACGTGGGCGAGATTCTCACGTTTCGGTATGCTGCCCCGGATGGACCCGTGCAGGTTTGGCAACATGCTTTTGATATGCGAGATCTTGACAGTGGGCAGGATTGCAAACAAGATTCGCTCGTCGTCATGTACCACTACACGAACGAGTTGGCCTTCCAGGACTGGAAAGTGGCGATCAAGGGATAACTTTCTAGTTGCGCTGCTATTAATTGATGTGGAGCATCATTTGATTTCGGCGTTTCGTATACTGTTCGGAAACTATCTGCAGTGTGCACTGCAGAGAGTTGATTGTTTGCGCGCAGAATGTCGGAAACATTGAGCAGACAGCAGCCGAGCTCTTTGCGTCTCTGGAAGACTCGCGTGCCCATTTCGGCAAGGGCATCTACAGTACCCAGCACGAGCCGGCAGCACCTTGTCCGAGAAGTCACCTGTGGTCAGTTTGCTGTTGTGTGCGTCCAGGTATGTCCGGCATGCGAGCTGCGTTGTTGGCATGATGTTCGCAATGCATTCAATACAGTATACTACAGTATGTTGCAATTATACTACAGTACCTAGGAAAGCCCGAGCAAGTGATCCAGGTCTGGACGTCGCGGGTCCGCGTTCTGCTGAACAACTACAGCAATGGCAGCCCGCTGCGCAGGAGCCTCGGACGGTCCTGAAATGGGAGGGTAAGCTTGGGGGTTGGTACTCTTCTTTCGTATCCCTGTAAGTCCAACCTCCCTGCCACACGAGGCGGTTCACGAACCTCCAAGTTTCGGTGGGCGGTTAGTACAGCCTACAACAGCCTAGTTTGGGTGTGTTTCAGAACGGTAGTTTTGTGACACGTGCAGGGACCCGCGATTTCTGTTTTTTTCCAGCTACAATTCTACACGTGCAGCAGTGCAAACGCTTTATGTCTGCAGCATCTCGCCAACATCACGCCAGGATCACGGTTCAACCAGGCGGTTGCAAGTGGCACAGTGCTATCTATCCACTAGAACCTTTGCCAGCATCAGGCTGGAGTCACACCAACATCACGCCATCCGTTGCAACACAGAGTTGTCGAAAAAGTGCATTGTAGAAAAGAAAATACCATGCGCAAATTCGCTCAAAGTCCCTGCGATTGTCCTCGCCAACCTCCACTAATGCCACAACCACAGTTCCCAAACAAGGCGGTTGATTTCCATACCGGGCGGTTGTTTTCCCTTCCAGGCCGGTGGTTGATGCCCAGGTTTTGCCTGTAAGAGTTCTCTGTTTCTAGTAATGGAGTTTTGTTCTTTTGTGTATAACCTGTTTTCAACATCGTTTTAGTCTTCTGCTGCAGTCTTGCAGTCTAGTACATGTATCTCTTTCTGACTAAAAACGATATTGAGGTATGCCATCGGTCCCTGCAGCCCGCCCGTATACCGCCACACACTAAATCTCTAAACTAGAGCGTGCTGCTAACGATTATTGTGAAGGTGACACTGCGGACATGGAATCTGAGCGCGTTGTCCGAGAATGGGGCGATGGCAACGCCTCGGGCCACCGGGCGGCCTTCTGCATCCCTATCCTCGCGCCTGGCTGATGCTAGCTTTTGGGGGTACCGGACTCAAGCTATGATGTGCTTAACATCCTAGACCTGAACCCTAAACCCGAAATCCTAAACCCTAAATCCTAACCCTAAACCCTATACCCTAAACCCTAAACCCTACACCCTAAATCCTAAACCCAAAACCCTAATATGATGAGTATGGCACCGGTGTAGAATCTGCTGTACCATCCTGCAGTGCGGCGTTCTATAACATCTCCTACCGAAAGCCTAACGCCCAAAAAGCGCAAGAAGAGTCTTGGGACACTTGGGTGGCTCACTTTGGGTCACCTTGAAGACTGGGTGGGTCACTTGGGACACCGCAGCAGAATTCTTGGGGTTTAGGAATGGCGTTACGGCGTCGTGTTTGGAGCGACACAGGTGCCCAAAGCAATGGCCTACAACATTTTCGAAAGACAGGTGCTCCTTGGCTTGAAATCTTGCAGCCGCTGAGCTTTGTTTGCTCAAGCAAACAGCATGAGGAAGAGTACCGCTTGTCAGAGTTTTAACCCAGGCTTTGGCCACCATAGGAGCCCCACATGTCAGGCCAGATATGGCTGAGAAGGTGGTGTTGGATCCAGATGGGAAAGAGCGTCCCGCAGCGCTGGGAGAAGATTACAAGGGTCGCCCAGTGGACAGGGACCGTGACGTTTGGGTGGTCCGTGCGGTGGACGACAGCGGTAGGGCGCGCCATGCTTTGGCAAGAGCAGATGGCTTGCTCCACTTGCTGAAGCTGCGCCTGGCCCACCTGCAAGAGACGAGGGGCAGCGACGACGCGGCGACCTTGCAATGCATGCATGAACTTGCAAGGAGATTGAAAGGCCATGCCGAACTGGATGAGGCGGAGCAGTTCTGCAGGAAATGTTTGGCAAGGCGTCGGAGGCTTAGCAGCATGTGCACCACAAGCTTGCTGCACGTCCGCCCTCCATGATTTCCCCCATTCATCGGCTGAGGCCGTGTCGTTCTGGGTGACTCACATCGGAACACTTTGACCAGCCAAATTACGCTTGGCTGGCTACTTCAAGATGATGGGCGCTTCGAGGAGGCAGAGCCTCTAAACCGTGACGCTGTGGCGCGGTGCCGAAGCCTCAGTGGTCAAAATGCATGGAAAGTCCGACAGTGTGACACGATACCATACGAAAGTGTACTATGCTATGCTATGCTATGCTATACAGTACTATACTGACTATATAGTAGAACATAGATACAGCACTTTCCTCTATGATACTTTACCGTACTCGAGTAGGAAATTTAGTGAAGCATGGCATCGTACAGCATGTATGCACCATAGGCCCGAAGCCTAGATGGCCTCTCCGTGAGGCCGGGCCCAGTTCGGCAATCGGAATGAGCTGACCTTGACCTCCATCACCAATCTGGCGGTGTTGCTTCGACGGCGACTGTGCTTTGGGGAGGCAGAGGGCCTCTTCCATGAAGTGCTCGAGGGATGCCGTAGCCTCAAGCATGCTTTTGTGAGCTCATATGGGGTCTTTTAACGCTGCCTACTCGGACCTCGAAGGATCTACATGTCAGTACAATGCCATGCTGCACTAAACCACACAGGCTACCAGGGGCGCTGGTTCCCTAACTTTGAGTTCGTCATCACAGGAAACTAAACGGGTACTCTATAGAGAACCCGAATGTTGAGGAGGAGTTGAGCCGAGGTCAGGCCGTCGGCAATGAACTTCTCCGCGAGGGTGCTCGCTTTGCCCTCTCAGAGCTGCTTGTTGAAACAGGCCTTGCGAACATGAACTCCATGTTAGTTCTAGTACATCCGTACAGGATAAGATAAGAGTAGAGTAGAGCAGAGGAGAGCAGAGCAGAGTTGAGTGCAGCGCAGTGGAAGATAGTCCTGTAGAACACAGTAGACTGCAGCATTGTGCAGTACAGTACAAGCGGTCCCAAATAGTATAGCGTTCGTCCAGTACATTAAGTCAGTATCTGGTTACCCTCCCACTTTGCTCTGCTTGAAGCAGGCCGCTGGGGTGAGGCGGAGGTACTTAAGCGTGAGATCCTGGCAAGCAGTCGACGCCTCAGAAGTGGCTTGAGGCATTGCTGTAGCAGTTTGTGCCGTCCAGATTGCACAAGACTGCTTCGGGGATGGGGTCTAGTATGACATGTTTTTTCTACAAGATGTAGTGCATCATGCAAATGTACAGTAGTAGATGTTGCAGTCTAGTTAGGTGTAAGCTGTAACAGGGCAGGTGATAGGATTTTGTAAAATATGGTGCAGAGCTACACTATCACTGGAGAAGGCCCGTCAAAGTGAGCTTCACCATGACTGCACCGTACAGTACTGTATGCTAAACGGTTCCATCGCTTTGACGCTTCTCCGTAAGGCCAGACAAGACTCGGCCATTCTCATCCCAATACTTTGGCGAGCATGGCCGGCCTTGGAAACTTGGACGGTCCTGACTGGCTTCCTCACATGTAAGTCGTGTGCAAGTGTATATACTTCGAAATGTGGCACAGGCTACAAAACTCCACAAGTACTGGGTTCCTGCTAAAGCATTTCGTTGCAGGGAAGGCAGTGCCCAAACAAGGGCCTAAGTAGTCTCTGGCAGTTTCCTGATTACAGGGACACCAGAAAGGGCACCTTGTTCTCGGCTCATGCCAACACACAGCCCGGCATAACCGCAAACCTGTCAGCACACTTTAGCCCCCTGAAGGGTGACGGATGCGACTGCAACGCAAGCCTTAACTTAAGTAAGTTGCACAGTAGCCTTTTGGCCCGCTCTGCTTCCGCGACCACTGCCTCTGCTGCTACTACTACTACTACTACTACTACTACTACTACTACGACGACGGCTACTACGGTAGCAGATCCAAACCTTGAACCCCTCAGCCCCCAAGAAATGAAGGTTTCCGAAATGAGGGGTACCTTATTGGGGTCCTTATTACAAGGGATCCTACTATTTGGGGGGTCTCTGAGGGGTCCCCCTATTTTCGTAAACTCCCAAATCGGGCCACTAAGGGAAGCTGCTCTACAGCCAGGGCCGACTTGGCGAGGCAGAGGGCTTCTTCCGCGAGGCCCTCGCAGGCTGCCAGAGCCTTACGTGTGCGTGGAGGGCTTTTCAGGCAGGTTGAGGGTTCCTTTTTCGGGTTTTGGGTTTTTGGGGTTTAGAGCTTTTAGGGTTTCAGGGTTTAGGGTTTTTAGGGTTTTTAGGGTTAGGGTGTTTATCTAAGAATTATTCAACATTTCCCGTGTGCATACCTTGAAAGAAAGTAAGGGGTATGGCAAAAACCTCCCTCAGACTCCCTTACATTCTCCTTTTGTAGGTTAAGGGGTATGGGCTTGGGGTACGGTCAAAAACTCTGAGTTTTAAGGGTTTTAAGGGTTTTAGGGTTTTTTCGGGTTTCAAGGCTCAGTGCTGGTGTGAACCAGCAGCTCATTTCACAGCCCTGACAGCCACAGCTCACACGGTAGCGGCGGCTTACTACGCGCAAGCAAGATCAAGAAAGCCTTGAGTTTGTAGTCTAAGTTGTGAGGCTTGGATGTGCAAAACAGACACGCAACTGGAAACCACTTGTAGACATGTGCAGGAACTACAGTTTAACATTCAGGGTCTCGGGGTTCTGGTTTGGGGTCTAGGGGTTTGGGGTTAGAGCTTGCGGTTCCAGTGCATGAAGTTTTAGCAGTATGACAACTTCTTGTGGGCCCAGTTCACACATTCATACATCACGCTTGCTGTTATTGATATGCTGAGTTTGTTGTTGCCATGTTTGTCCATGCATTTTTCCTGATTATTCGTGCCAGCAAGCTCGTAACAGTGGGGTTGCGGTACTTGGTTCATTGTCATCAGTGCAGGTACAGTTGTTACTTTCTCTTTAAGCGAAAAGAAAGAGACGAACACCTGGATACTGAGCGCTTGAACTGAGGGAAGGCCAAGCTGGGGAATACCAACCCCATCACCTTCACCGGCATGGAGAGCTTGGCCCGGGTGCTCCAAGACCAGGGTCACCTGGAGGAGGCGGAGCGTCTCTTTCGTGATGTGCTCGAAGGGCGCCCAAGCCTTAGAGAGATGATCCCCCAAATCTCCATGGAGCCCAAAGTCAGCAGCCGCTGTATATTGTTGTCTATACTTTAGACACTCCGATAGTGAACCACACACATATATAAATCAACGTGTCAGCGATGATTGCATGGGAAACCCCAGGATTTTGAAGACCCGGCTGGGAAAGGTCACCCGCCCGATCCTGCACCACACCACTGCCGTGACTACCTACATGCTCGATCCTGCAACAGCTGACCCACAATGTATTGGACCAGTCCCCCCCTGGTGCAATACATTGTCTCGGCACAAGTCTGGTAGCTCGGGCTCGCGCTGGCTTGCGTAGAGCTTCAAGTGTTTTCTCCCACCCTCTTTGGGGTGTCAACAGATTGAAGCCCAATGAAACGCATTCAGGCGGGGGGGGGGGGGGCGGTATGTAGTGTAAAGTGTATAGTGTATAATGAGAAGTGCAGAAAGAGTTTGCAGAGTAAACAGGGGAAAGAGAGTATAAATAGAGTATATAGAGATTTTGAGTATATAGAGTATAAATTAAGTACACATAGAGCCTTTTTAGAGTACATAGAGCATATAGAGAGAAAAATATATAGAGTATATAGCACAGTATACAGAGTATATAAAGTATATAGAGTATATATATAGAGTATGTAAAATATATAGAGCCAAAAGAGTATGTTAAAGAGCATATAGAGTATAAGAGTATCGAGTATAGAGGAAATAGATTATCCTATATCGTATCTCGCATGAGTTGTATGGTATATAGTATATAGTATATAGTATACAGTAGATAGTATATAGTATATGTATATAGTATATAGTGTATAGTATATCGTATATAGTGTTTAGTATAAAGCATATAGCATACAGCAAACAGCATACAGCATACAGCATACAGAATACAGAATACAGTATACAGTATGCCCTGAGTCCTTGGACGGCTCCTCTTTGGTGAAGGTCGCTCGGTAGGACCCCAGGTCCGGCACTGAGGACGGTGGTTTCGGAGTTGGTGGTCCGTTATCACGCCCGATGAGCACCTGTCCCAGCCTTCCAGAGGTTGATCCAAGTGGCGACAATGCCGGTTTGAAGTTACCTCTTTCTTTCGTTCTCGCTTTCTCCGGCTTCTTCTCCTTCCCTCTTCTCTGCCGCCTCTTCCTTGCCTTTGCCAAACTTTGTCACTCCTCCACCGCGTACACCCGAAGGGTTCAACGTAGAGTAAGCGCCAGTGTTCGGTGACGCCCCCGCTTGCGGGGGCATCAATCGACCTCTTCGTGGCGAAGCTTGTTGGTGGGTTTGCGGGGACACCCCCCGGTCGCAATCGTGTTGGTGGTTTCGGGGGTTGCAATCGACCTCTTCGTGGCGAAGCTTGTTGGGCGCCCCCCCGGTCGCAATCGACCTCTTCGTGGCGAAACTTGTTGGTGGGTTTCCGGGGGCACCCCCCGGTTGCAATCGATCTCTTCGTGGCGAAGTGGCGAATCTTGTTGGTGGGTTTTCGGAGGCACCCCACAGTTGCAGTCGACCTCTTTGTGGTGAAGCTTGATTTTTTGCTTGTGGAGTGGACATCTGCAATCAGCTGACGTGTTGTTTATCGCAGCTGGACCTCTTCCTTTTCCTCTTTTCGGCTTGATCTCCTTAAGCCTTCGGGTCGGAGGTGATGCCGTTCTCTTTAGGCCAGATCTTCGGGTCTTGGTCCTCCCTCCAATCCAATCCAACCAAGTATACAGTGTCTAGTATCTAGTATCTAGTATTTCCGTATACAGTATAGAGTACAGAGTCGAGTTAGAGAGTAGAGAGTATATAGTAGACAGTATATAGTATACAGTATGTCGTATATCGTATATAGTATATAGTAGATAGTAGATAGTACATAGTATATAGTATTTTGTTTGTCGTATAAAGTATATAGCATATAGTATATAGTATATATAGTATATAGTATGTAGTATATAGTATAGAGTATAGAGTCTAGAGTATAGAGTATAGAGTATAGAGTATAGAGTATAGAGTATATAGTGTTGTTTGTATCTAGTATATAGTATATAGTGTATGACTATTTTTCTTTATTCAGTAAAAGTTGCTGCCAGCCGCATTTTCCGTGTCAAAGGTCAGGCCAACTTGGGTGCCAGCCATCCCACCACATTGGCTGCGCTGAGCAACCTAGGCGGTGTGCTTCGTGCGCCTCGGTTGCGCCTTTGACAGCGTAGTGCTCTATTCGTGTTGTAGTAGTTTCGCAGTACTAGTTACAGTTAGTACTTAGAATAGTTCTGCTTTAGCAGTAGTACCTGTTGCAGTACCATCCATGGTACCCTCAAAGGAATCACGTATCATCTGCTGCAATATAGTGTAGTATGCATGGATAGAAGGAATTTCCAAAGATCCCCACCAAGGCGCGGGGGCAATTGAATGAGGCTGAGCAGCTTCTCCGCAGGGCACTTGATGGCCGCAGCCCTGGTGAAGAGCCGGGTGTTTGGGCCTGCAAGGGTGTAGTGTGCCCTAAATCCTCAAGCTTGTTTCGTAGATATTTGGGCCCTGAGGCCAGGGCAAGGGCCAGGACAAGCAGGACCAACTTGCCGCCCTCACGAATCTGGCACATGTGGTCGAGGCCGGTTGCAAATCGTAGCGCTTCCCCGGACCCTGACTCTGGAATGTCCAGTACATTACAGACTATGCGAGAGTATGGTCTAGGATAGATATAGTGGCTCGGGGGGCGAAGTCAGCCGCTGCGTTTTTGGGGTTTTACATGCTAAAGGTTTAAAGTTTTAGGGTTTAAGATTTAGGCATGTAAACTTAAGCCAATAGAGTTTAAACCTTAGGGGTTTAAGGTTTAGGCATGAAAACCTTAACCCTACACCCTTTAAGTTCGCATTCGGGCGAACCTTTAAAACCCTATGGTGGTAAAATTTAAAGGTTTAGGGTTTAAGATTCAGGCATGTAAACCTAAGCCCATAGAGAAATCCTATAAGGCTCTAAAGGGTTCAAAGGTTTTAACCCTATAGGCGCTAAGGTATAAATGCCCAGACCTTAGGCATGTGGTTAAACCTTTACGCTTCATAGGGTTTACAGGTCCAGGGGTTTTAAGGGTTTACCTCTAAATCCTTCACGAGGTTGGCCCTACAAGAACTACGTATGTATGTATGTATGTACGTACGTACGTACGTATGTATGTATGTATGTGTGTAAGTATGAAACTTATAGATCTCGTGCTTCAGTTTTGGGCCCCTTGTTCTTTTAACCCCCCCACCCTGTTTTTTAAAACCCCGCTGTGTTTTTAGCCCCCCCTTGTTTTCCAACCCCCGAACCTGTTAGCAGGCTTTGGTGCGCGAATCCCCGTTTTTTAAACCCCCCCTCTGCCTTCGCCACGGGGGCAGACCCTGTTTTCCCACCCCGGCACCCTGTTTATCCGACCCGTAGGTTTTTTTTTTTCCACCCCCGAGTCCGGTTTTTCAACCCCCGAACCCGTTTTTCTCCACCCCTTCCTCCAAGCCGTGCAAAGCGTGCTTCAAAGCCAAAGAAACATGTTGAAAACCATCATGTGAGCATTGTGTTTGCAAATGCAAATTGGTGGGCTGCACCCCCCCAACCCCCCCCCGCTTCTTTTCAGCCGTGCAAAGTGTACTGAATCTAGTTGAATCTCATCATGTGAGCATTGTGTTGCAAATGGGGCGGGGGCTGCGCCCAACCCCGCCGCTTTTTTTTTTTAGCCGTGCAAAGCGTGCGTCAAAGCCTATGAATTTTGTTGAAACCAATCACGTGAGCATTGTGTTTGCGAACAAAGCGTGCTTCAATGCCTATGAATCGTGATGAAACTAGGGTACTGAAATCCCTTGGGCAATAAGAAATCCTACGATTACGAAAAGTAGTATGAGTCCTGTGAGAATATAATACTGGGAATGTAGCTTTGTCGTAGGAAAAGCCAAGAAACCAACAGAAACGAACCAAAAAAAGAATTAGTAAGAAATCCTACGAACAGTAGCACGAAAGCCTATGAACAACAGAACATAGCTTTCTCTGAGGAGAAACCAAGAAAACAAAGCAACAACAAATTCAACACGTCTTACTGAAATTACAGGGCAATCCTACGAAAAGTATGAGTCCTATGAAAATATAGAGGGAATGTAGCTTTTTCCTACGAAAAACCAAGAAAACAAACCAAAAAAGAAGAATTAATAAGAAATCCTGCGAAAAGTGGTATGAATCCTATGAAAGTATAAAGGGAATGTAGCTTTTTCCTCTCTCATATCTTCCTCATGAAATATTGAGATTAAATCTGCAAATATGGACAAACATAGAAAACGATAGAAAAGTAGAGGTTTGTATTCTGAAAAAAACATACAAATTAGAGGTTGTCTTATGACAACGTAGAGGAAATCGAGGTTTTCACATCAAAAACAGCGAAGAAAAGGGATTTTCATATGAAAATATAGAGAACATAGAGGTCTAGATGTTCAAATATCGAGAAAATACAGGTTTTCTTAATAAAATATTAAGACAATAGAGGGTTTCATATCAAAATATGGACAAAATAACGGCTTTCCCATTACAGTACAGAGAAAAGAGCGAGGTTTTCATGTTCATTAGTTTTTCATGAAAATTCTGAGAATATAGACAAAATAGAGAAATATAAATTTTCGTGATAAATTATGAGAAATCGAGGTTTGTACTGAAGTATAGCGAAATCAAAAACATAGAGGTTTTCATATTAAAATGTAGAGAAAATAGAGGTTTTCATTTTCAAATATAGAGAAGAAAGAGGTTTTCTTGTCAAAATACAGAGAAAATAGAGGTTTTCATATTGACATACAGAGGAAACAGCACAAAAAACCAACGCCCCCCCGCGCACGCAGCAAAAATAAACGCGCCCCCCACCGCACCCGCAGCAAAAAAGCAAAGCGCACCCGCAGGAGGAAAAAAAAACACAAAGAAGAACAACAACCACGCCCCCGCACCCTCAGCACAAAAAATGAAACGCCCCGCACGTGCAACAAAGAAAACACTCTTACCCTGCGTAGACACTCCCTGCCCTGTGTCGAGACACGATCCGGGGGGCCAGAAAACAGGTTGGGGGGGGGGGGGGGGGCAAA